CTACATGTAGACATCCAATTAGACCAGCACCATTTGTTGAAGATGCTATCTTTTTTCCATTGTATGGTTTTGGCTTCTTTGTCAAAAATGAAGTATCTGTAGGCGTGTGGGACTTCAAGTACTATGTTGAAGAGATACACAGAGAGGGAGAGAGAGAGTGGCCAGCCTTGCCTTGTCCCTGATTTCAGTGGGATTGATTTAAGTTTCTATTTATTTTGATGTTGGCTATAGGCTTGCAATGGAATACTACTCAGCTATTAAAAACAAGGAAATCATGAAATTTGCAGACAAATTGTGGGAACTAGAAAAGATCATCTTGAGTTGGGTAACCCAGAAGCAGAAAGACACACATATATTTTTTTATTTACTCATATAAATAAATATATATATTTACTTATAAGTAGATATTAGCCATATAATATAGGATAAACATACTAAAACCTATAATCCTAAAAAAGCTAAAAACCAAGGAAGACCCTAGGGAAGATGCTCAATCTTCATTTAGAAGAATAAAGGTGATAGACATCAGAAGCAGGAGAAGACAGGGAACAGGACAGGAGCCTACCACAGAAATGGAAGCAGAGGCTGAGACTCATAGCCAATATTTGGGCATAGTTCAGGGAACCTTATGAAAGAAGGGGTATAGAAAGACCTGGAGGGAACAGGAGATCCAGAAGGAAACCAACAGAGCCATAAAAATTGAGTCCCGTGAGCCCTGAAGAGACTGATACACCAACCAAGGACAATGCATGGAGAGGACCTAAAACCTTGGCTCAGATGTAGACTCAGTCTCCAAGTAGGTTCCCTAGTAAGGGGAGCAGGGAATTTCTCTGGCAGGAACTCAGTGGCAGGCTCTCTGATCACCTCCCCCCAGGAGTAGTGGTGTTTGCAGCCTTGCCAGGCCACCAAGGAAGACAATGTAACCAGTCCTGATGAGACATGATAGGCTAGGATCAAATACAAGGGGAGGGGGGTTCAGTCTCCAAGTGGGTGTCCTAGTAAGGGGAACAGGAACCATCTTCAACGAACTCAGGGCTGACTCTTTGATCACCTCCCCCTGAGGAGGGAGCAGCCTTACCACAGAGGAAGACATGCAGCCAGTCCTGATGAGACCTGATAGGTTAGGGTCAGATGGAAGGGGAGGAGGACCTCCCCTATCCGTGGACTTGGAGAGGAGCATAGGAGGAGATGAAGGAGGTAGGGTGGGGTTGGGAGGGAATGAGGGATAGGGCTACAGCTCGGATACAAAGTGAATAAACTGTAATTAATATAAAAATTAAAATTAAGAAAAAGAAGGGGAAGGAGGACTCACCTATCAGTGGACTAGGGGAGGGGCATAATGGGAGAAAAGGGAAGGAGGGCAGGATTGGGAGGAGATGAGGGAGGGGGGTCACAGCCAGGATATAAATTAAATAAATTGTAATAAATGATAATAATAAAATAAATTTAAAAAAGAATTTAAAGCAAGCTGACTGAGAGTTTCTATGGTTTCAGCAGCTCAGGTGTTGATACGAAATGAATGAAAAGGGGTGGCTTAATCGCCAGTTAATGGAGCTGAGATTTTGATACATGAGACTTATCAGATAAATTAGAAAAGTATGTGAAGAATTTATGAGATAGAAATTTAGGATGCAGGACGAGGCCACATTTAGTACCTAGGGGAAGAGAGGACACGAGGGATCAAAACTAGGGGAAACCATGACATCAGTGATGTCACGTCCTAGTAAAGATTGTGGAAGTGTGGGAGAGGACCTCTGGAGAAGAGGATGCTCCGTACTCAGCACAGGATTTGGGAGGTGTGCAACGGATGCTGTACAATGGTACATGTGCAATGGGCCATGTACAATGGAAGGTGTTCAATGGAACATGCACAACGGAAGTCACAGGGTACACTTTGGAGGAGACGGTGTAACACGCTAAGGTGTAGGAAGTAGCTATGAGGATCCAGACTAGAATCTCCATTATATGATGCTAAATGAATGAGCTCTCTGACCATACACCAAGATAATAAAACAGTGATCTCTTTTTTTAATAATTTTTATTTTTTATATTAATTACAGGTTATTTACTTTGTATCCCTCCCAATCCCACCCTCTCTCTCTCATCTCCTCCCTGCCTCTCTTTAAGTCCACTGATAGGGGAGGTCCTCCTCCCTTTTATCTGACCCTAGTTTATCAGCTCTCATCAGGACTGGCTGCAATGTCCTCCTCTGTGGCCTAGCAAGGCTGCTCCTCCCTCAGGGGGGGGTGGGGGGGAGAAGGTCAAAGAGTCAGCCAACAGTGATCTCCTAAAGATGTGTGTCTGCTGAGTAGGATAAAGGAGAAGAATCAAGCACATAGGGAGACTGGCCTTGTTGCATAAGCCCTGGGTTAAGAGGGGCTGCACATTTTTATCTTCCATTGTACATCACTAGTCACATTGCCAGCCTTGGAGAGGAGGGTAGCGATTTACAAATGTAGGCAGTTTTTCTTCTTTCTCTCACTCTCACTTGAGCTAATTTTTCCTAATCCTACTTTCTCTATTTAGCATGCTATTAAAATTTTATCAAAGTCCATAATGGTTTTTTTAAAGACTCCATCTGGCATACACTTAACTTCCTATGTAAATTTCTTTAAGACTACTCATGTTCAATAAAAATTAGACTAAAATTAAAAAAAATCTGTTGACTCATGAAAGTGAGTAGTAGGAAATTAAAGAGAAAATAGAAATTTAGAAAGGTCTATAGTATTAACTCATACTGGAATAATAGCTCACGGATAAATAATTATGTTTTCATGTCATATAAATATTTTGTAAAATTATTAAAGATGTTTAAAAATATGCAAGAAGAAACAACTAAAATTTATCCCAAATCTTTAATAAGTTGCCAGCACTTTCAACATATTAATGTATATACTTTTAGGTCTCACATGTGTTTTAATATATACATGCTATATCATCTATATCTATGTTTGTTGTGCTTATGTTAATATATTATAAAGCATGGTTAGAATTTAATGAGACCATTGCTACATAGACTTTAAGTACATAAATAGACAGTCAGGGAAAGACTATGACACATCCAAGCAGGGCTGTGGGCTTCTCAAATGAGAGTCAAACATCACGATGTTTACAGCTTATTTAACGATTTTGATAACTCCCCGAGGCACTATTCTCAAAGGTGGCTAATAAATATAAATGGGATCGAAGGGGAACCTGACACTAATATAGTTGATAAGGTAAAACCTTAGGTCATAGGCATGCTGGGAAATTGCACAGCTTTGCTGCAAACAAAAGTTAAAGAGTTTTTTTTTAGACTCTTAGAAGGTGTCTTAGAGAGGAACAAAGTCCTAAGTCACATGCATTCAGGCCTTAAATCTGGTTCATTGCTATTTTCATATAAAACTTCTATTTATAAAAAGGACAACTTGAGGAGGAGAGAAGAAACAAGTACACAGTGAGACCAGGTTAGTTGCATAGGTTCTGGGTTTAGAAGGATCACCATTTTCATTTCGTATTGTACCTCACAAACCATATTGCCATCACACACCTGCCGTTGCTGAACATTTCTTCTTGCATGTGCTTTTGATTATGCTTTTGCCAAAATGACATGAGACACTATAAAAATAACCAACAATAATTCCATCCCTTTAGGGTGTTGTGATTTGCTTTTTGTATGAGAGGATCATACAAAGTATGCACATCGAGTTTATAAATAACAGATCATTTAAGGGTGTTCTCTAATTAAAAAGTCTATTGCTTGCTAATCTGTGCCAGGAACCCTCATAGACAGCATTGTAATTGTGCTGGAGTCCTTGAATCTTAGCTGCTAAGAAGGTTCGACTGGACTGTGGGGATCCCCCACTCTCTCCCGATGTTTAATTTTCCCTCACTTTTTTTTCCAAAGAAAATAACATTTTAAAACTTTTTAACTTTTTATAAACTTTTGGAAATGTAACACTAAAGGAATTTTATTAAATTTGATTAAATTTATATTTGATTATATTTTAAAAATTTCTTTTCTAAACACGATTTTAAGGTTGATTAATACAATTGAGATATACTTTGCATTCTTGCAATTGTATAGTATTCTATAAATGCTGTTGAAATATAATTTAACATTTCATTGTATTTAAACTTACTATGGTTAATATTATATGGCTATATCATAAAGTGGTGACCTCATTTATGAGCTTTTACTGTTGTAAACAGTACAAACATGAGCAGTTGTGAAATTAGTCCACTCTTATGAATGTAATTATACCTCTAAACGGGTGCTTTTTTCACGGTTTTTGATTTCTATTTCCAAATTAACTAATTTTCAGGACTGCTCATTGTCACCGGATAGTAAAACTACTTTGAAATATCTGCCATTTAGATACTAAACTGTTCACACTTTTTGTCTTCATTTCCTAAAGAGAGTAAGTAAGCAGTTTTATGCTCACCTTTTGGAATGATGAATATCCTGTTAGTGATTTCTGAAATTGTTTATAGTTGGTCTTTGACATTTTTTTTTTTTTGCTGTTTTATATAGTATATAAATACATTAAGCTGTGTGGCTGAGTTTCCATTATATGTAAAAAGTTGCTGTGCCTCTTCCTTTGGGGGTGGGTTTTAAGTTTATTACTCCTTTTGTTGATAAAATAGGATGTGTGTGGTAGCTGTAGGTCAGATTACAATATCAATATCACACAACTGAGAACATCTTGTAATATATCTTAGAAGCATACCGCCAAAGCATTAGGAACAAAACATCCAGAAGGAAGAGCTGCCCAAGCACCTGGGGCATGTCTGCCTTGCTATTCATTACCCCCATTCCTGGCAACATCACTTACAAAGTGAACATTCTGATTATCAATCTTCTATCTCAATGCGCCATAACACAAGCTTTTCACTGATATTCTCCCTGTAAATCTTGTGAGGGGCATTGCACAAGGATATAAAATTTTGCAATTTCACAAGACGACAAAATAGTACTCAGGAGGTAAAATGCGAAATTAAGGATTTAAAGCTTTTCTTACCCTCTCCAATGTAATTTCTTCAAACTCATATTCAATTTCTGTTCCGTTGACCTATTAATAGGGAGAAAAAAAGGGAGAGAATTACTAATGCATTCTGAGTTTGAGATTATACATTTGAAAGCTACTGGGGGAGCTCCAGGTGTGTGAGCACCCCGTCATTCCAGAATAGTGCATGCTAAGCTTTTGATTGTCTTTTTTTCCAAAATAAAATGAGGTGCTACACAGATAACTAATGGTTTCACCTCTTAAGGATGTTGTTATTTGTTTTTTATGTGAGGGGACAGTTAAAAATGCATTTTGAGTTTATGAACAATAGGCCATCTAAGGATGATGATATAATATCAAGGAGGTTGCTTGCTAATATCTGTTTAAATCTCATAGATAAAGCTAAAGAATTAAAATGGCAGCACAAACTATATATGTTCTCTCTCCACCTGTCCCCACCCCCTACTCTACTCCTCCGCTTCTGCCTCCTTTTCTTCCTGTTCCCCCTTTTCTCCTTTTTCTTGAGGAGCAAAATTACATTAATAATGACCCAGTCAGCTAAGAAATTCCATGTTCCTGACTCAAGTTCAGGTAACATATTCCAATTACTTCCTATTTTGCTTTCTGGGAAGCCCTGGACCATGAAAACACGCCCAAATGCTTCAGGAGTAATAAATGAATAAAGCAGAACCCATTTTAAGATTCCTCATTAGAATTGTTTTAACCACCTAAACAATTCTTGAATTGATCTAAACTTAAAAACAGAAATACAGTTTGAATACAGCCAAGCACACATGTTTCAACAGATGTGCATAGAGAATTATAAGGAAATGCTATAAAACAATCTGACAAACATTCATTTCCTATTTTTATCTATGACAGATTTCTTCTTATCCAATTAACATTTCTGAGAAAAAAAAGTCTCAGATTGTCTATTACTTTTTTTCCCTAAAGTATATCTTAGCATCACCATTGGAATTTGGGAACCATCCAGGGAGACAGTTTTTCAACCACAAAATTGTGTTTTCTTTAAGATCCTTAACATCGGCTTGATTTTCTAGTCTTACAGAATTTAAATATAGTCCAGGGAGACTGAGAACTCTGTGGAGGCAAGGACCCTTCACCTAATGTAGAGCTTGGTCAAAAGGGAACAAGAAATCAATGAGTCATGAAACTAAGTACTATACCAAACCACAACCACAGACATTTGTCATTCTATTTCATAGGAAACATGGAGGTAATATCACTGATGGAAGATGTACCTGAAGTTGTAATCAGTAAAGATATACAGCCACAAGGGTGATGGACTATGTCTCAGTGACTCATTCGGAGCATGTTTTTGATTATTCAATTACACGAGCTAATTGGTGAATCACATTTTACTGTGTTATTACATTATCAAACAGACCTAAACTAAATTTGATTTTCTGGGCTTCAGCAATTTAATGACTCACAGAGAAAGACTTTATGATGTCAGAAAGCTTCAGCAGCTTTACAAAGGTTTTCGTTGAGCACATGTAAAATTAAAAAAAAATCTCAAAAGCACTCGTATATACATGCTTCTGTCTGAACTTTTTGTTTATCTTTCTAACTTTTAATAGTTGATAGAAGGAGGGCACCAGGAGGAGGCTGAATTAATGTGATACATTCTCATTCCTTTACTATGGCTCCATGAAGCTTTTCTTTGCTTCACTGGTTCTCTAGCGTGAAGCCGTTCCTGTTATTAAAGTGCTGCAAACTGGGAAGGGGGAACATGCTTCAAAGGAAGGAAAATAAGCCTCTGCTAGCAAATATCCAAAGATTCACAGTGAAAGGCATTCTTTCAAGAAGTAGTTGGAAGACAAGACAGTTTTACTGGTTTGTTTTACAGAGCATATATAGTAGCATATAGAATATTTGCTTAGCAACTCTAAGATTATGCATGCTGAATGTTAGATTCTAGATCCGTCCTATATGTGCATCATAATTATTATTCTGAAATTCCCTATTCAGCTTCATGAACAGCTCTTATAATCCTTGCCAGTCAGCTTCTTTGTACTCCAAGGATCTTTCCTTTTCAACTAAAGAATGTAATCTTATTTGCTTAATTTAACAATATCCAGGCTCTCTTCTTAAGGGTAGAGAGTGGTGTCCAGGATGTAACCTTCATTAAAAAAAAAAAAAAGAATATCATTAAAAAGTAGTGAATGTTTTTAACCATAAGTGAACCAACTCCTCAACCTTAACTGATAAACATTTTAAAATATGGAAACATAAATACAATGTGGGGATTCAGGAATAAGGTATTTTAGACCCTCTAATATCTATTGTCTCATTAGAAGAAGAGTGATGGCTATGTTCCCTGGATGAGCTCTAAGGAAAAAAAATAAGCTACACTCTCTCTTGGCAGAAATTTTGATAAAAAACAGAAAACTCAAGTACTAAGAATATCTGTATTTTAATGAAAAGTTCCCAAGTCTTGGCTGTGATTTTTTAGATATTTTGAGCCTTTTCAATTAATTGAGCTTTCAGTAGCTTCCACATTTATTTAGAGTATGGTAATTTACTGAGTGGTGAAGAATCAAGGAATGTCTACAGAGAATCTCCCTCACTTATCATCTTGAGTACCCTCATCTAGAAGTCAAAACTATGTTTAGTGTGGCTCCCCTTCTCTCCTGGCAAGAAGGGTTACAGACGGTACACTCTTGTGTGATCCTCCCCCTACGGTCTCAGAATAACTGAAATCAGTTCCACAACATGCAACTTTCTAATTTCTATCTATCTATCTATCTATCTATCTATCTATCTATCTATCTATCTATCTATCTGTGTGTATGGTTGTGTTTGTGTGTGTGTGTTTGTATGATGTATGTGCATGAATATTGGGGCATGTAAGTCATAGTCATGTGTGGAAGTCGGAGGACAAACTCAGGAGCTAGTACCCACCTTCTACCATGTTTGAAACAGATTCTTTTTGTTGAATGGGGCAGGCTGGCAGACTCATGAGCTTCTGGGGGATTTTCCTGACTCTGTCTTCCTTTTCAATCTAGGAGCACAGTGGTTATAGACCTATGCTAAATTTATGTATGTTTGAGAGGTTTTAAACCTAGTTCCTCACACTCCTGCAGCAGGCATTTTATTACAAAGCCATCTCCCCAACTCTTCTGATACGTCCTTACTACTCAAGAAGCTCTCTTTCTACTAAATATACTTTCCATTGACCAGTCACATTTCCTATGATATTTAAGCATCTTAGAAATATATTGTGTTTCTGATCTATGGGGTACAGAAAGTGCCATGGTCGAGGTCCCTGTTAACTCCAGCTCTGGCCCTGCTCATCTCTTTAAACTTTCTTTTTCATCTTGAAAAGTAGAAAACCAAGTGACTAGCATTTTGGAAAATAAATAAGATATACAGAATTTCATAGTTTTGAAAAATGTGGTTTCAGTGAAACAGGCTACTTCCATTGCCCTTGCTTACCCACCACAGATACATAACAAGATCTTATTGCTGAAAACACAACACAATCTGGCTGCAGGACATAGAAAATCACTCTCAAACCAATTGGAAAACTTCCTCCATTTGTAGCGCTGTGAGGTACTATACAGGCTGCTGGTGGAAAAAAAAAAAAAAGACATCAGCGGCATTAACTAGGTGAGACGCAGCATGCTGAACTTCCAGCCGGGCAACATGTACCTACTGGTACACATAACTGTTCTGGGGTAACTAACAGCTTTCTGATTGCATTTAAGGTCTGTTCCACGGGAGGGAATTTCATGTCTGCTACTGTGAATCTGGCCAAAGCCCCATGGCCAAGAGCTCATAAGTTCTACAGTAGAACCAGTTATTGCTTTGCAAATACTTATGCTGAAAATTGCCTTCTAAATATTTATATTTATATTCATAGACCTGGGCTTCTTCTAACCTTGCTTATTTTTTTTCATTTGTCAGCAGTTTTAGCAGATTGCTAAGAAAAACAAACTATGAGTTCACAGCCCTAAAATGGACACGTTCCTCAGTAAGCCTCTACCCAAGGCTATGGAAACATTGTGGAAGAGGAGTCAGAAAGAGTAAAGGAGCAGGTGGATGAAAAGGAATGCCGTGAGGTGCTGTCTTCCTGACAAGGCATAGCTGTTGCACCCATGAGCTCGTAGCATCTTTGGTTTTCTGCACCACATCAAGCCAGACAAAATGTCAGCACCGATGGGGAGGTGCTTCTTGAGGTCCCTCCCCTTACTGAGGAGCTACTTGCAGTTGATAGCTGCTGGGAATAGAAAATAATTCTTCTTTGTGGGTATGACCCTTGGTAGGTTTCCCATTCTCGGGTGGAAGGCCCCACCTCTGAGTACACATGGGCAGCAGTAGAGAGTATAAATTGGGAGAAAAATGTATTTGAGGACTATGTAGAGAGTCAGAGAATAAAATAAGAAACAGATACAATCATATTTCAGGGTATATATGTATTAAATTCTCAAATGTTAAAGATATATGTTCTTCCTGTGCCCCTTCCCCAGTCCACTGATAGGGGGACCTCCTCTCCTTCCATCTGACCCTAGCCTATCAGGTCTCACCAGGACTGTCTTTCATAGTCTCCTTCTGTGGCCTGGTAAGGCTGCCGCCCCCCTTAGGGGGAGGTGATCAAAGAGCCAGCCACTGAGTTCATGTCATAGATAGCCCCTGTTCCCATTACTAGGGAACCCATTTGGAGACTAAGCTGATACAGGTTACATCTGGGAGGGAGGGAAGGTGGGATTGGGAGTGGATGAGGGTGGAGGCTACAGCTGGGATACAAAGTGAATAGATTGTAATAAATAAAAAAATTATATTAAAGAAGAAAATAAAAAAGAAGAAACTGAGCAAATAAATTATGGCCTTCCTACACACACACACATACACACAATTTTTTTCTTTATATAATTAATTTTTCTTTATATGATGGATGGCTCTTGTTTCTCTGGTGGCCAAAAAACCAATTTGATGCCACCCACACTCCCACACTTTTATGGGCAGGAAGCCTTCCTGACCTCATATGGCACTTAAATTAAAAGAAAGCAAGACCCACAGCCCACTCACATTCCAACTTCATA